CATGGACAAGTCCAAGGCAGTGTGAGCTTTCTGCCAGGATTTGGGAATCCTTTACGAATCCAATTCTCACATCCCTGGGCCCCCCCGGTCCCGGCGCTGTTCCCGGGGGTCCCGCGGCTCTGGGGGGTCAAAGGGGAGGGGGCGGAACCCCCGTGATGGTTGGGGGGCACAAAGGGGGGTCCGGGCCCGGTGATCAGGGGGTTCGGTGCACGAGGGGATCCCGGTGGATCCCACGGGATCCCGGTGCCCGGTGAGGGTCTTGCTGTGATGGTGACACTTTTCTATTGGTTGAAGGTAGAGACACACTGTCCAACATTAATGACAGATATTGGCATGTTAATGCAAACATCGTACAGGCAGTTTTTAGTGTAAAATGTAACACCAGCCCAAGGGGGTGGCAGTCTGCCACAGACTGACCTGCTAGACAGAGCGCAGCTCCTTGAGAAAGCATGCTACAGAGAAAAGAAAATAAACAGCCTTGAGAAGCCGACCCTACGCATTCCAGCTTCTTCTTTGGCTGTGCGCCTGGGAAGCAAGGACTTTTCCATTCTTGGGGTCACCTTGACTGCCAGACCCCCGAGACCTGGGAATCGCCCCAGAGCCCCCAGCCCTCCTTGTGCCTGCTGCCCCCTCACCCCAAGGGACTCCGGTGGCTCTCCCAGTCCATCCCGGTCTCTCCCAGAGTCCTCATAGCCCATCGCAGGGTCCCCAGAGTCTCTCCCAATTCCTCTCAGTCCACAGCCATTCCATTCTGAGTCTGTTCCAGTCCCTCTAACTCCACTCCCAGACCTCCACCCTCTCTCCCAGTGCCCTCATGTGGATCTCAGATTCACTCAAAGAGAGAAACTAAGAGTTTCTAGCCAGGCAGAAGCCTGGGAAAGAGTTGGAAAAGAATATAAATAATTTTTTATCTCTCTTGTTACTCACATTGTTAAAGTTAAGTTCTATCACTGTGCATCAAGCACTCTGCACCAATGGTGTGGTTGTTTTCAGGACCAATGGAGTTGGTCCTCACGGAGCTCTGTATAAAAGAGCAGGGTATTTTGAATAAATCGGAGTTTTACTCTCACAGCCTTCTGAGTCAGTCTTCTCATTCCCATCCTGCCTCAACAGCAACACCCTCCCAGTCCATTCAAAATCCTTTTCAGTCCAATCCCAGACCTCCCCTCTCTTCCCCTCTCCCCCCACCCTATCCAATTTCATTCCCGGTCCCTCTCAATGCCACACCAGCCCACTTCCATCTCTCCCAGTTCCCCCCAGCTGACCCCAGTGTGTTCCCAAACTCTCCCAGGGCCCATCCCACTGTGTCAATCTTGCTGGGCCCCTCAAGCTCCCAGCACAACCCTGGCCACCTGCTCTGCCCCATGATGGATTTCTACCCTGCACACATCCAGCTGAGGTGGTTCCAGGGCCAGCAGGAACTCTTGGGACATGTGGTGGCCACTGACGTGGTCCCCAGTGGGGACTGGACCCACTAGCTCCTCGTGCTGCTGGAAACCCCCCCACTCCCAGGGCGGGGTCACCTGCAGCTGCCAGGTGGAGCACGTCAGCCTGGAGCATCCCTGAGCCAGCACTGGGGCACAGCCCGGTCCCCACAGCACCAGGGACAGGGGGGAGGCGCTGGGGGGACTGGGAGGGGGATTGGGGTGTGCTGGGACTAACTGGGAGGGAGTTGGAAAGAGCCTGGTTTAAACTGGAAGAGGGGCTTTGGGGTCTGGAAGGGCTGAGAAGGGGTTTGAAGGATACTGGGGAGGGTGGGATGGGGTTCCAGGGGTCCTGATGGGCACTGGGAGGAAGTTTGGGGGTGCTGGGTGTGACTGGGAGGAATCGGAGAGAGCCTGGAGGAGCTGGAAGGAGATTGGGGATGGAAAAGCAGAGGTTGGGATGAGGTTGGTTGTGCTGGGAAGAGATTGGGAGGACTCTGGGTGAGTCCTGGTGGGGCTGGGAAGGGACTGGGAGATGGTTTGGTGGTCCTGGGGCAGTGGGGGGCAACTGGAAGGGGGTTGTGGGATTCTGAGAGGGACAGGAGGGGCTTTGGTGGGTCCTGGGGAGGCCGGGAAGGGATCGGGGCAGGTTTCAGGGGGTCCTGGCTGGGCTGGTGTAGAGAGCGTTGGACTCCTGGACAGCTGGGACGGATGGGGACGAGAGATCTCTGAAGTCAGGTCTTAGGTTTATTGTGGGGCCCTGCTGAGAGCTGCCAGCCACAGCTCGGAGCACGCCCCAAGGAGTGGGGGCAGGGAGAGATAGCGAGAGAGAGTTCCAAAAGAGGCTCCAAGAGAGAAGGGGAGGGCAGAAGGGCAGAAGAAGGGCCCCTGGTCTCCCGGGTACGCCTTATCAAGGGGGCTCCAGAGTGGGTGTGGAGTAAGACTTTGGACCAAAGAGATTACAGACACATGATACTTCAGGGGAGGGTTAAAGATGTGGGATAAACTATTCATTTTTGAGGGATGAGACAGAATATTCTGACTGACCCTTGGATCTGTCTGTAGGTGAAAAAGGGGGGTTGCCTTCCACTGGGCACACTACTGTTATCTCGTTACTCAGCAACCAAGGTCCGGCATCTCAAAGCTCCTTCTCGCTCTCAGTCTCTGTATTTTCCAAATCCTTTGCCAGGCAATCATATTTATAAGGCTTTCCCATTTCATCTTCCAGAACAGGGACTGAGGGTGGAAGGGAGGGACAGTGGGGGATGAGGGGGTGACAAAGGGACAGAGGGGACAGCAGAGCCCTCCAGGGAGGGGACAAACGGGACCCCAGGAGGGCACAGGGGCCACCGCAGGAGGCCACAAGTGCCACCAGGCTCCTGACACCTCCCCTGTACCCCCTCAGCAGCTGGAGGCAATGGTGGCCACCCTGAGAGAACTGACGGCCACCGTGGCCAGGCCGCACAGGGACGTGCTGCTGGCCGTGTCCCCAGAGTTCCTGCGGGTGGCTGTGGGGACCTTGATCTTTCACCTCCAGAACGCCCTGCGCCACTACCGTGTCCCCTACCTGTGCCACCACCCTGTCCCCTCCCTGGTCTGGACCCTGGCCCACCTCGGGGACACCCCAGGGACCACCTGGGCCTGTGTGAGAGCCCTGGCCAGCGCCAGGCGTGTGCTGGACAGGCTCATGGACAGCTGGGCCCGGGTGGCCAAGGGGGCCACCAAGCTCCGCGACGCCTGCAGGGATGCAGCCACCAGGAGGGGACAGCGGCTGGAGCTGCACCTGGGGCTGCTGGGGGACTTGGTGGCCGCGTGTGACGAAGCCACCGCGTTCCCCCGGGAGCTGCAGCGCCGGCTCGGGGACATCGAGGCTGCCCTGGAGGGGACAACGGAGGTGTCCCCTGATTTCCGTGCGGCCTTGGTGGCCACAGTGGCCGAGGCTGAGCAGCTGTGGGAGGCCAGTGCCCGCCTGGCCACGCGTCACCTGCTGGGGACACTTGGGGACATCAACACTGAGACAGTGAAAATTTAACAAGGTAAAAATCCATTTGGATTTAGGTGAAATGTGCCACTTTGAGCTTGCTAACATAAGTATAATATACTGATTAGCCTAGTAACTGCAGCACTAGCAAAACTATCCCAACTAAGGAGAAAGAATGCAAATTTCCAAGCTAAAGAGATAAGAAAGACTCCTCAGACCTTGAAACAAACAGTACAGAGTGACCCAAGAGTTGATTCAGTATTTTTCAACACAAACCAAGTTCAAGTGTAACTAGCTGTAAGTGTAATGTGAAATCAGCAGAATGAATATGCATGAACCTATTGTAAAATTCTCTTGGTTTTCTGGTGGTCGAGATGACCCCGAGATTGTGAAAAGTCCTTTTCTCCCAGCCCACGCAGGCAGAGAAGGAGTCGAGATGTGGAGCTTTGCTTCTCAGGGCCGTTTATTTTCCCTTGTCTCTAACACGCTTTGTCTGCTCTGCTGAGCTCCGTCTGGCAGCTCGGTCTGTGGCAGCCTACCTGCCCTCAGGGCACTGTTTACCTTTTACACTAAAAACTACCTGTACTGTGTTTACAATAACGTGCCAATATCTATCATTTATGTTGGACAGTGTGTCTCTACCTTCAACCAATAGAAAAGTGTCACTATCTCAGCAAGACATGGGGGGCAAGAAGGTCAGGACACACCCAAATCCCTCCATCCTGTTCCCTTGAACACCTTATTTTAAAACCCCAAAATGCTACTTTTCCACCTTGTATTAATTCACCTACCATGCTACTCAAACCCTTGTGCCTTGTAATTCCTCATAAAAAGTTGGCAATTTTCTCCAGGGGCTAAAACCAAAGCCACTGTTGTTCTTGACACCGTGCCAAGGTCTCCAAGCCGCCTGCCAGGGTCTCGAGCCATCCTGGCAGCCAGAGGGATGTCCTGGATTCCGACACCCCCCAATTACCGAGCAGTGGGAGCCCCCCGGGTACTGCCCCCCCCTCACCAAGCACCGGGATAGGGACCGAACCCCCCTTGAACCCTGGGAACCCCCCAGGCACCGGGACAACCCCGGCAGCAAAACCCCCGTGCACCGGGACAGGGACCGGGCCCCCCTCGTGCTCCGACCCCCCCAAGCGCTGGGCCCGGACCCCCTTTTGTGCCCCCCACCCATCACAGAGGTTCCATCCCCTCCCCTTTGACCCTCCAGAGCCGCGGGACCCCCAGGAACAGCATGGGGACTGGGAGGGACCAGAGGGGCCCAAAGCACTGGGGGATCACAGGGGGATGCCCCGCACAGGGCATCAGATGCCCCTTGGGGCTCAGTCCTGTCCCCCCCATTATCAGACAGGACCCTCATTATCACCAGAGTACCCCCACAATTTACCTGGACCCCCCCATTCACTGGTTCCCCCCTTCACCGAGCCCCAAAAAGCACTGGGACCCCCCCCCCGCCCACCCCCCCCCCCCCCCCCCCCCCCCCCCCCCCCCCCCCCCCCCCCCCCGAACCATGAGCCCCAACACAGTGAGCCAGGACCCCCAGGTCACCTCCCATCCCTCGTCCATGGAAATCCCCCGAAATCACATCAGCACAGGGAGAAGAAGCCAAAACCTTCCCCACACCCAACAGGGATCACCAGGACCATGATCAGCAGGGCTCTGCCCAACGGGGGTCACTGGGGATCATCCAGCCCTGATCCTCCCATGGGGGATGGAGCTGGAGCAGTGCACCAAGCTCTTCCCTCACTCTCTTCCCTCACTACAAGCTCCTCCCTCACTCTCTTCCCTCACACCAAGCTCTTCCCTCATTCTCTTCCCTCACTCCAAGCTTCTTCCCTCACTCAGGGCACTCACAGGGCTTCCCCTACTGGTGCCTCCGTTGGTGCTGGGTCAAGTGAGAGCTCCTGGAGAAGCTCTTCCCACACTCCCCACACTCATAGGGCCTCTCCCCGGTGTGGATGTGCCGGTGCACCGTGAGGTGGGAGTTGTGCTTGAAGCCCTTCCCGCAGTCGGGGCAGCGGTAGGGCCTCTCCTCTGTGTAAATCCGTTCATGCTTGAGGACATCGGAGCTGGTCTGAAACCTCTTCCCACACTGGGGACACTTGTAGGGCCTCTTCCCAGTGTGGATCCGCTGGTGTTTTCCCAGGTCTGAGCTCCATCCAAAGCTCTTCCCACATTCCAAGCACTCATAGGGCCGTTCCCCAGTGTGGATCACCTGGTGCACCATCAGGCCAGACCTGTCTTTGAAACCCTTCCCACACTGGGGACACTCGTAGGGCCTCTCCCCAGTGTGGATGCACTGGTGCACGGTGAGGCTGGAGTTGTGCTTGAAGCCCTTCCCGCAGTCGGGGCAGCGGTAGGGCCTCTCCTCTGTGTGAATCCGCTCGTGTATGAGGAGATCAGAGCTGGTCTGAAACCTCTTCCCACACCTCCCACACTCATAGGGCCTCTCCCCAGTGTGGATGCGCTGGTGTGTTCTCAGGTCTGAGCTCCGCCCAAAGCTCTTCCCACATTCCAAGCACTCATAGGGCCTCTCCCCGGTGTGGATCACCTGGTGCTGGATCATGGCTGAGCTGTCTCTGAAGCTTTTCCCACACTTCCTACACTCGTAGGGCCGTTCCCCAGTGTGGATCCGCTGGTGCCGGATCAGGTGGGAACTCCAGCTGAAACCCTTCCAACATTCCAAGCACTTGTGGGGCTTCTCCCTGCCATGAGGCTTCTCCACCAGCTCCGAGCTCCACCTGGATCTCCGCCCGCCTTCCTGGCTCAGGGGGGCTCTTTCCTCCCCGCAGCTCCCTGGGCTGGGTTTGCAGCTCCTCCTCCTGCAGCATCTCTGGGGCTTTTCCTTCCCCTCCATCTAGCCACGCCCCAGGAATGACAAGTCCTGGTTTGGGGAAAAAACAAGAGGAGAGCACCTTGGATTGGGTGTTCCTCCTTGCCCAAGTTCATCCCTGGAAGTCACTGGGAATCTCGTGTCTGTAAGAACCTCCATAACACCAAGATTCAGCCCAAACATCCCACAAACTTCAAGACACACATCAAAAACTCCCCAAACATCACAGCTCAGCAAAAACCTCCTCCAAAACATAAATATTCAGCTACCACATAAAACCAAAGCACCAACATTTAGCCCAAGAAAGCTCAGAAACACCAAGATTCACCCCGTGAAAATCGTGAATCCCCCTCCACAGTCACCTGCTGCATGTGGGGGGAGCAGCGCTCCTGGGGCTGGGGGAAGGCTGCAGACACAGAGAGGGGTGGAACATTCTGTTGCTTCCTCTTTCTGCTCCTCCTCCTCCTCCTGTGTCTCTCCTCTTTCTCACAATTCTCTTCTTCCTGCTATTCTTCCTTCTCCTGCACAATCCCACCTTCTCCTGCCACCTGCATCATTTGACCATTTAGTTCCTCAAGCCTGCTTCTCCTTCCCTTCTCCTCCTTCCCCCAGGCCCAGCACCCACTGCCGGCTCCCTCTTCCCCCCACACCCACAGCATCCCAGCGCAGGGCAGGGATGGAGCTGGGGCAGGTCGGGCTGGGGCAGCGCTGGGCTCTCGGCCGCTCCCACCCGCACTCGGTCCCCACTGCAGCCGCTCCCGCCAGGACAGCGCGGGGGGGCCCGGCCTTGGCGCTGCCCCACTCCCACCTCCCCAAATTCCCCTCGCGGGGGGCTATGGGGCTGAGGGGGGCCACAGGTGAGGAATGCTCTGAGGGCCAGGGACCTGTACATAAGGAAGTGACAGTAGAAGCCATCGGTTTCAGAAAATGTTAACAGTTGATGACACAGACTGCTGCTCAGCCAAGGTCCTGCTCTATTCATGACCTTCCAGAAGAACAACAAAGACTTAACAGAGCCATGAATATCGTTTCCTATACAAAAGTGGGGAGCATATTAAGGTGGGTATGTAGTAGGTGGATTGGGAAGTCTGTAGTGCTCAAGTGCTTCAGCCAATGGGGAAAGCAGAGGGAGATGTGTCCAGGAGAATTAGGATGAAAAGGAGGCTGTGTCCTCCAACAATTTGAGAGATCCCAAGGGGAATGTCCCATGGCCTCTCCCAGTTTCAGGAATGAAATTACTTTTACAGGACTCCTCTGTCTGCTTTGTGGACAGAATCCTCTGGTGATGTCAATTTTTCCACACACCCTGGGGCTCATCCCGAATTCCTTCCACCATCTGGGGCAGTGGGCAGGGAGTGCAGCTGAAGGTGCCTCACCCACTTTGGCTGATCGGCTCCCTTGGCTGGCGGCAGCACCGGGGATTGATTGGGGACCCGGGAGTGACCAGGAGACAGATGAGTGACACATCAGGGGGGTCTGGGAAGAGTCAGCAGGGAGAGAGCACTGAAAATCTCATCAGTGAGTGCCCTGGGATCTTCAGGGAGTGAACATGGCAGGGCACCCATGGAGGGGAGAAAAGGGAAAGCCAGGGAGGGGGCCTGGCCAAAGGGATGATGATCCCAAAATGTCTCTGAAGGGTCCCTTGGGAGAATGTTGAGGTAGTTTGCACATTCCCCCAGAGGTAATTAAGGACATGGACACCCAGGGAGGCAACAAGGGAAGTGGAAAAGGCATTTGGACAACAGGGGATGGATGGTGTTGGTGTGCTGGGAAGGAATCGGGTGTAGGAGAGTGTGCAGCAATATGGTTCAGGCAAGAAGCAGCAGGAAGAATCCATGTGGTAAGAAAAAGGATGATGGAAAAGAGGAGGAAGAGAAAAATACAATGGACTGAGATGTTTTTCAACAGGGTCTTTTCCTCAGAACTTGCCAGCTGATCCAGATCCTTTCCATCCCCAGTTTCCAGGAGAGGAAAAGCAGGAGGTCAGGATGCCAGGGGTTTCTCTGCGGTGGCAGCGGCAGCACCGGGCACAGAGGTGCGGCACCGGGAGCACGGGCTGGGGCCTGTGGGGAGCTGCGGGGCCGGGCCGGGGCTGTGGGGCAGCCGGGGCTCAGCGCCGGGCGCTGCCTGACCCCACCAGCCCCGGGCAGGGCCGGCAGTGGCCCCCGGCCCCCAGGAGGCTGCGGGACGCCCCGGCCGCTGCCCGGCCCCAGGGAGCTGCCGGCCCTGCCCGCCGGGGGGGCCGCCTTTGGACACTGCGGCAGGACAGGCACCGGCTCTGCCACACGGGCTGGGCAGGGACCCTGAGCACAAGGGGGAAAACAAAGGAACAGCTGGGAAATGCAGAGTGCACATGGAAGCATCAGGATTTTCTGTTCAGGATTTGGTCTGGGTCCCTGCAGAAAGGAAAGGTTTTGCAGAAAGCTCAGCAGCTCTCAGAGGATGAGCACCCACAGGCAGTGACCGGGGCTGCAGGAGTGGCACAAGAAGGCCCTGCAGCACTTGGGCACAAAGGCACAGCAGCTGAAGGCAAGAAGGGATGAGCAAAAGGCCAAGCTGAAGGCAAATGCCATGGCAGAGTTCCCACAGCCCCTGAGGGATCAACCCCAGGGCCCAAGGGGGCCCCAGCATCCAGGGCATGATGGGGTTCGCCACAAGCACCTTACAGAGGCATTGCCCTCCTGGCCAGGGCAGAGCCCACCCAAACAGCCCCTGGGAAGGAGTCAGGGCTCCAGCTGCAGCCCACAAGGACACTGCAAGCACAGACAGCAGCACCCTCAGCAGGAGCAAGTCTGTGGTAATCTAGAGCTTCCCTCTCACTGCCCTGAAATCCTGGGACTCTGGCAGGGGGTCAGGAACCCCTCTGTACAGAGCCCCAAGAGACACTGTCGCTGATCTCTGTCCATGGAAAACAGTTTTCAATCTTACAGGATGAATTACGAGCTCTGAATGTTTGATATAAGTAGTAATTAAGTATGGCACGGTTGCAGAAGTAAAATTTTAGGATTCTAGATTAGGGGTCCAAAGGGGACAAGGTGGAGGAAATTGGGTGTGCCTTGTCCTTTTTCTCCTTCTTCATGCCCTCCACGTTTCACTGTAGTGTTGGCATTTTTCTGTTGGTTCAGGCTGGGCACACACTGTTCAACGTAGGTGACAGATATTGGCACATTATTGTAAATACAGCACAGGGAGTTTCTGGTATATAATGTTTGTAACATCCAACTGAGGTCAAAGCCCCACACACTGCCCTGCAGGACATACCTGCATCAGAGCAGCAGAACATGTTAGAAATAAACAGAATAAACAACCTTGAAACCAGCACAGACGAATTATCGCTTCTTCTTTGGCAGCGGGGCTGACAGACAGAGACTTTCTACAATCTCAGAATCATCAATACCACAGATAATGACAAATGGCACCCCTGGGTGGACATGGATTGTCAGGGGTGTCAGAGCTCCCATCCCACCGGGGACCCACCACACTGGAGCCCTGGAGAACATTCAGGCTGGGTCTGCATCCAGAGGAGGCCTCTCCTGATGGACACAGGGGCCTCTCCCTCCACTCTGAATCTTACACCTAAGCGGGACAACTGCTAAAAATGTCTTTGAGTATTCAGGGGAGCAGTAGGAAAGAGGAGTGGCTTTATTCAACCACTTCTAGCATATGTGGGAAAGGGTTTGAAATGCAAGAATTTTTACTTGCTCCTAATTGTGACTATAGTTTACAGGGAAGGGATTTGATCACTAAACTGGGAATGCAAATTAACATTATAAAAGCTAACACAGAGGCTAGTTCTGTTGTACCTTTGTGTCATATGTCTGGCAAGGCCTATGCTGAAGTGAACCCAGAAGTGTGGGCAGCCTCAGGGAAATGGGGAAAATTAGATATGGAGCCTCTTCAAAGTACTTTGAAGCAACCAGCACAAGTGTTGTCTAGAAGCAACACCCTATTCCAAGGGAGGGAAGAATGAAAAATGCATATTATATGATTGGCTCATTGCAAATATTAAAATGAATACTATATGTGTTATGTTGGAAAGTTATGCTCTAGTAATCTCTTTTAAGTAGTGCTGTATTAATCTCTTTTAAGTAGTGTGCTACATACAGTTTTTAGCCTATAGCATGAGATTAAAATAGAAACTATGTGACATAAGATACTTTTTTTAAATAGCTCAAAGAATGGAAAAGATAATCAAGAAATTCTTTACATTATTGACGCTAGATAGAGATCACAGCAACAGACAATTGGAACCCCAGACAAGAATCATTGCCTCCTTTCCAGAAAAGCTCAGACTTCCAGGAACCAAGAAGGCTGATTTACAACATGGGGGGGAAATGTAAAATTAAGCAGAAACACCCTGGTTTTAAAGGAATGTTTGAATCAATATGAGATATATGAATATGCAATAGGCCATTGCTTTTATGGGGTAATCCTTTATAAGCAAGGTACGCTATTTGGTGGAGTGCCAGGCTCCCGGACTCCATAATTGTTTACTTTCATTGTCTCTTATTGTCCCAATTTTTATGACTATTTTCATTACTATTAAATGTTTAAAATTTTAACAAAAGTGAATGGTGTTTTTCACAGGAAGGAAGGGGAATTAGACAAAGCGCAGGACAAACCCACAGAGCTGTGTGTACTTGTAAGAGCCTGGCACTGAAATGCCCTGAGCAGGAAGGCTTCAATATCTTCTGGTGACACCATCTCACCTAACAGGGGGGCAAAATCAATTATTACTTCTTCAGCAACCACTGGATCACTTAAGGTATTTCTAAAATAAATAATTCCAAGAGAACGGATTGTGGAAGCAATAGAATCAGACAGTAGAACTCATTTTACAGGAAAAATCCTCCAGGGGGTTATGGCAGCTTTAGGAATACAATGGGACCTCCAGAACCCCTGGCACCCCCACAGCTCAGGCTGGGTACAAAGAATGAATGGGGAAAGAAAGAAACACCTTTGGAAACTGGGGATAAAAACCAGGATGCCATGGGTATGGCTTTTGCCATTTGCTTGGGCAAGAAGAAGAGCCAGACCCAGGGCAGATATTCAATTCAATCTCCCATGGAATTGATTTCAGGAATTCCTTACCCTGGGAATTCTCCACCTAGTGCAGGGTGGAGATAAGGGATGCA